AATTTTTGTAAAACAAACTTAATTACTAACAATTGTAGAATTAAATCCTACATGCAAAATGCGACATATTTTTGTATTTTTTATTAATTTAACAAATAAACATGCACAGACAAATACAAATAATTATCCAAAAATGTCACAAAAATTCTCAAAATTGCACACCAAGGAAAATCATTTTATTTTGAATTTGTTGGGAGTAATTCTTTCATAGGGCAAAAATCACGTGCTTACATCAAGCATGCCCGTGAGTTACTATGATTAATATGACTCTGTTTGTATTGTTCATGCCTTTTTTGATGATTTCTATTGTTAAGCAAAGCTCGTGGAAGTTTATTTCAATTTGAATATTGAAGAGCGTTGGCTCAAGTTGTAAAATGACTTGTAGAAGTATAATTGGCAATTGAGCCCTATAGAGCATTGGCTCAAGTTGTGAAATGAGTTGTAAAGTAAATGTGAAAAGGAAAAGAGAAGAGGGTTTTTGATATAGTTCCCTCGCCGGGATTCGATTGTTGTATTGTTGTTCCCTTGTCGGGATTTTATTGTGATTTCATTTATTTCCTTTCCCTTATTTCTTGTGATTATTGTTTTGGTAAGAGAGTATTAAAGCACGTATGATGATTTCGTTTACTTGTCCATGATTTTCCTGAATCTTGCTGATAATTGAGTTATATTGTCTTTTACGTTTATTTACTGATTTTCTGTTGTTACTTGATTCTATTATGATGTTATTGATTCCCTTGTTGGGATATTGTTATTCCCTTATTGTTCCCTTGTCGGGGCTCCATTGTGATTGGTGTTGAATTGTATATTTGGATCGAGTTGCACGCCGCAACAACAATATATTTGGATCGGGTTGCACGCCGCAACGATATTATATTTGAATCGGGTTGCACGTCGCAACAATATTATATTTGGATCGGGTTGCATGCCGCAATAATATTATATTTGGATCGGGTTGCACACCGCAACAATATTATGTTTGGATCGGGTTGCACGCCGCAACGATATTATATTTGAATCGGGTTGCACGTCGCAACAATATTATATTTGGATCGGGTTGCATGCCGCAATAATATTATATTTGGATCGGGTTGCACACCGCAACAATATTATGTTTGGATCGGGTTGCACGCCGCAACAACAATATAATTGGATCGGGTTGCACGCCGCAACAGTGATAAATGATATGGATCGGGTTGTACGCCGCAATAGTGTTTTTATGATTCGGATCGGTTGCGCGCCGCAACAGTAGATAATAAAAGTGTTTATTGGTTGGTTACGATTGCCTTATTCGTTTGCTGTGAATTTTAAATTGTCTTTATGCTTTTCTCTTGAATTGCTTTTGATAAATGATATTCCCCCGCAACATGTCCCCCTCCCATCTTTAATTGTTTATTTTTATTTTATTTTCTGTTGTACATAATATAACTGCACAGGTTTAGTCAGTAGTCTGGTCCTAGCCTCGTCACTACTTCGCCGGGGTTAGGCCAGGCACTTACCAGCACATGGGGTCGATTGTGCTGATACTACACTCTGCACTCTTTTGTGCAGATCCCAGTGCTGTAGACTTCGGACCGCAGTGGGATTGATGTCTCTTGTTCATTAGGAGACCCGAGGTAGTCCTGCAAGCGTCCACAGGCTTTGGCGTCTCCTTTTATTTAATATTCATGTTTCTTTCATGTATTTCCAGAAATAGTGTTGTATTTATTTCTTTCATACCTTTATTTGTAATACTCCAAGACAGTCTGTGAAGTTGGGACACCAGTCTTGGGTAGATTTGTTATGGATTGGTATTAGTAGTATTATTAAAACTTTATAATACAGCCTTATTCAATTTTGTTGCCATCTAATTGTTGGCTCTTAACTGTTATCGGATTTAAAATGGAAACAAGATAAATAGTTCCGTTGGTTGGCTTGCCTAGCTTTCACTAGTGGGCGCCATCACGTCTCCCAAGATGGAAAATTCGGGTCATGACATCAGGATGGCATTTCACCATTGTTGTTATGCGAAGTAAGGGTGGCATTTTACTGTTGTTGTTATACGAGGCATAAGGGTGGCATCTCACTGTTTTATAAATGTACAGAGTGATATGGGTGTCTATTGTGTTGTATTTCGGGCGAAGTGATAAGGGTGGCTATTATACGGAATGATATGGGTTGCTATCGGAGTGATACTGGTGGCAAATGATATTGTCAGGACGGAATGATACGGGTGGCTATCGGAGAGATAAGGGTGACAATATCAGGGATGATGTGTGATGACCTGGGGGAATTTTGTTGGTGATATTTGTGTGATGGTGAGTTTTTACTTGTGTATGTCATACACCTTACATGACTTGTTGTGTTGCTTTGATGAGCTACTCAATGTCTTTGATAATACATGTAGACTTGTGTTATAATAGTACACTCGCACAAGCATATACTGTAGCATGCCACTTATCCTAGTTCAGGAGTATGAAACTTGACATTTATTTATCATGCACATGTATTCTTGTATTATCTGTTTTCATGTTGATATTGAGCCTGTGACCATGTCGGGCGCATTGTGATTGTGAGCCTGTAATCATGCCGGGCAGATTAAGATATTGGCACGTGAGTTGTCATGCGGTTGTGATTTAAAATGTGGGTACAAGGTTCCGTGAACATATGATGTTAGGTTGAGGCCCGTGACTTGTGACTATGAGATGAGGTATCTCGGAGTAATTTCGTTGCGAAACTTGTGTTAGAACGAATTGATTTATTGGTTGTCATTTGTGTTCCTTATTTGGTTTCAATGGTGCTTCAACGGTATTTGTATTACTTTACTGTTTATATCATATGTTGATTGTTGTTTCCATTTATTGATTCCTGCTTGCATTATTAACTTTATACTTCTATATTGCACGGGTTATTTTGATTAGTATGTGTCTTGACTTGTACCTCATCACTACTCTACCGAGGTTAGTTTTGATATTTACTGGGTTCCGTTTGTGGTATATTCATACTATACTTTTACACATTTTTTTGCAGAGGCAGGTATTGGAGATATCGGACACTCGGGCAGAGTTAGCTTATTGATCGCGAGGATTCAAGGTAGAGTTGTTTGGTCGTCGCAGCCCCTTAGAGTCCTTTCTTTTATTGTACTGTTAGCTTGTCATTTGAACATTATTCTATTTCTATCTTTGAGATCTTTCCATGTATTTAACTAGAGTTTATGATTCTGTATTACCTAGTTTTGGGAGAATATATGATTATTGTCATGTAGGCTCGTTTCGCTTTTGTTTCGATATTCATATTAAACTCTATTTTAAATTATTATTATTAAACTGGCTTAATTGTTGAAAGTAATCGGCTTACCTAGTCTTAGAGATAAAGTGTCATCACGATGCATGTGGTAGGATTTTGAGTCGTGGAAAAAGGTACCAATAAATATCCGCACTTGTTTTCAGTTTATTCATGATTTATCGTAGGAGTTTGCAATAACCAAAAATAATAATAATGGCTCAAAGAAATGCGTGATTAAAATCTCGTGGGAATACAATTCAATAAAGAAAGGCAAAACTCAAAGAAAAAGGAACATTTTTTTTTTGTAAAGAAGATCTTCCAACCAATAGTGGTTTGGTGAATTTAGTTTAAAATAGGACTAGAATCCTATAGTACTCTTGCTTCAAAGCCTTACGGTTAGATCTAACTCATTATTATCCTCATAAACGAATTGATTTGTATCAGATCTATCTCTAATAGGAAAATCTAACTCATTTATGTATGGCCTCGTGAACTCAAAGGGATTTTCATTAAGGTTTATAACTATTGGATTTGCACCTCGAACATGGTTCCTTCTTATGAACTCAGAGGGGTTCTCATTGCGGTCTATAACAATTGGATTTGTACCTCGAACATGGTTCACTACTAGAAACTAAGCCTATGGAAACCCTTCTAAAACCGTGGCAATAGATACATTAACCGTCCCTATAGGGATACTGAGACGAATTCGGAACCGTTTTAGGATCTGGCGTTACAATAGGTCAATTGAAACGGTTATTTGTAACGGTTTCAAAACCGTCTCCACAGAGGGATATTGTAATGGTTGTGGAACTACTACCATTGTTCCATCTTTGGGAACGGTTTTAAACCGTTGTGGTGCCATTATACCAGAGATTTTCTTAGTCTATTGCGACTGTTTTCATGTATATTGCAACGGTTTTGTGATATATTGAAACAATTATCATTATCCTATTTCAACGGCTATTGCAACATATTGCAACAGTTATTAGGGGCTGCTGTTATTATTTTTAGGTCTATTGGAACGGTTATATTCTCTATTGCAACAATTCACAATTATCATTTTTGATATTTATTGAAGCAAAATGAGGAATATTTTCCAATGCAATGTAATTTAATACACCATAAATTATATAAACCACGAAATAAAATAAAATATTCAACTAGCTTTATCCATATACAAAAACAAAATATGAATACATTGTTTGATCAACAATTCAAAAGTCAAAATAGATCAGTTTGCATACAAAAAGTTTTAAACTAAAATATTGAACATGATAATAGAAAGTTTAACAACGATCAACAACTTTCAAGTAAGGTCTTCTTCAGTGCTTTCGTCCGCAATCGTTGCACCTACAAAAGACAATCAGAAATAATTAAACAATTTTTTTTAAGATAATTGAATGACAAATTTTCCAACTCTCTAAATTCCTAGAATTTTCGGCAGAGTTTCCTTTGTAAATACGACTATCCCAAAAATTTTAACCTGCTCAAAACATCATTATGCTATAAGAAGTCTAGATTTGTTTAATATTTATGGTACTAAATAGAACATGATGATCTAACGTCCTAAACACTTTCCTGTAATAAGAAATATGACAGAGTACCTAAGCCATAATTGGGTAAAAGAAGGAAAAATAGCAGCAGCAGCAAGCAAGTGAAAGACGCAAAACATAGCAGCAGTGAAGTAGAAAATGAAGGGGGAAAACAGCAGCAACGAGCTAAGTATGCACAGCTTTTTCGACAAAGAAAAAGCATTAAAAGAAGGAAAAACAGCAGCAGCAGCAACAAGCAAGTGAAAGACGCAAAAAACTAGTAGCAGTGAAGTAGAAGAAGAAGGGAAAAAACAGCAGCCACGAGCTGTAACTCTGATTTCAATTGGACCATAAATACAAACTTATAAGTTCATCGTATTAGGTGCTTCCATGTCTTCTATCCATAGGCCCTTTCATTTTAAGTGAAAGCAGCACAAGCATAATCGGATAGAAGTAAAAGAATGTGCTTATCAAAAATATTACTAGAGAAAGAAAAAAGGAGCAGCGAAACGATTTTCAGAATAACCAAGACAGCAACATCGAATATCGATATCAAAGATCAAACAAGGAAAATCTCATGGTTTCAAACAGAAAATCAAAACCTAACAAACTCACATGGATAGTTTCATATCCAATTTCGCATATTCATATCCATCAATTAGTCTCAATAAATAATTTCTAGCGATTAAATTTAGCATATTCTTATCACAAATTTAGAATAAAAGCGTTGCAAAGAGTTGAATTCAATTCCCATGTTAGAATTCTTTGATTCAACTTGCTAGATAATATAGTAGGCAAAAAATTGAGAACGTAACAACAAAATTATTCCCTCTAATTTGTAAAGTATGGTTCTGTAAAATTGTAATACCATATGCATCACTACCTGCTATTAGCTTTCGCTGAAAATTTTAACTTATCACTATTATACATTTACATGTAAGTTACTCCTCCCCAATATATTTTTTCCTGAACCTAAAGTTAAAGAAGAAATATGAGGGAAATTATAGCACTACCGTGTGGTACTATATTTCGTCATTATCATGATAGGCGTACTTTTCATGATTTCTGAGGGCTCAATATCAAGTTAAATTAATAAGTATAGGAAAGTAGGAAACGCAGTTTAGTAATGTTTAAATAGCATCAAAGATGTCAATGGAAGGTTCCTAGAGATGAACTTACAAACTAGACAGTTTCGCCTAAAAAAATTTAATGCGTAGTATCGAGAAACTGCAATAAATATGTAAAGATAACAATCAAAGTTAAAATAAGCGGAAAATAATGTGTTCCGGCCCTTTTTGTGGCTTCTGCTGAAAATATGAGTTTTCATAGATGGTTTACAACATAGTGTGTTAAACAATCAATTTTTCAGCTTCATGAACTGTGTTTGCTTGAGGATTCACTGAAAATATTGGATGTAGTGGTGCTCTTAAAGGTCTAGATTTTTACTTTTACTGACCTTTTCTACTCTAAATGATTTTGCTCCCGAGCTTTCAAGGATATTTCTAAAAATATGTAAGTGGAAGCTTTTGTTCAAGTTTTAAGCTGAAGGCTCGGAAACTTTGCAAAGCAGTGACTGGTAATTTTTAACTTATTAATGAACAACTACAAATTCACGCAAAACAATATAAATCAACCATAAATTTCCTTCACTTCACAACGAGGACAACACATTAAGATCCACAGTGAAGAACACATACAGATTCTATTTGTGTTATACCAAAACAATCAACTAGTTTTTCGAGAATGATATTTTTAGCGATTTTAAGCATTTATATATTAATTAAATTAATAGAAGTAGTGAACCTTAAACAGAAACTACAAATTACCAATTCTACAAAATAAAGGAACAATGAGATAGACCCAAAATTAGAAAAACAAAGGAGATAGTAGTATAGTACCTTCGAGATAATCTTGAATCCAAACCTATGCAAATGGCCAGCAGGTAACCTTAGTAAAATGCCCTTAGCTGCAGATTCTTGCACTACTGGTTGTGCCCGTTTGCTACCAAAAAGCCTTAGCACAAATTCGATAGCATTTGATTCCACTATTGCCAATGATGTTGTACACAAAAATATACAATAAACTACAAGTTAGAAACAAGACTTTTTAAATTTATCATAAGTCCCCGGCCATAATGTCCACAAAATGCTCCTTTCCGTATTACTTTCTATTAGGCTGCATGTAATTGTAACTAGGATTTAGGAACAAGCAAATCCTTATGATTCCAAGCAAATCGATTACAATTCAGAAAATCAAATATGATTGAGAAGATATCTGAGCTCAATCAAACTTATATGAATGAAGTGAAAAGGTAAATCACACCATTTCAACAGAAAAAAAAGGACCATTTCAAGCCTCCTTGTTCAAATCTGAGAAAAATAAAGTTAAACCTTTAGACATTACCCCAATAGATAGAACTCATCTTTTCTCTTTGTCATATACTCATAATAAGTGTAAATTTTTTAATCTTTCAAAGTTTAAAAAAGCATCAAAGTAAACTTCGACTTTGACAAATCTTTAAACTTTCAGTAGCAATTGCAATATGCAATTCTAATTTCTATTTCTAGATGACTAATGACATATTCCATTTCCAAAAAAGGAATTACTCTTGTGTTTTTTCCGAATGAAAAGATGGTATAGCCACAAATTAGATAATTCAAAGACTAAAAAGAGTACAACTTCCAAATGAACTATAACTAATAATATCTTATTTGGTCAACCATGAATGAAATAAGGTCACTAAAGCTTAATATTCGTCAATATCTCTTCTTCCTAATAGATTAACATATAAAGAGAACAGAGCATCAAGATTGCATTCAGGCTTACCTATCAATATTTGTAAATCGAGATACATTCAAGCAAAAAATAAGATTTGAGTAACCACTGCTAATGGGTCGGCATTTCGTCGAATAGTTAATATGCATGACAGATGTGGGTAAGCACAATTTTAGCATACAACCAAGCCAACAACTCACTAATAGAAAATTGAGTATTCAAAATCATTTTACACACAGAGTAGGAAGAGATAATCCAGCAAGTCTACTAACTATTTAGATGAGATAAAATTGAACAAATTAGAAGAAACCCCCAAAAAGAAAATTGCAGTACATATGAAAATCACTAACCCGAAAGGAACTAAATGTGAAATGGGGTTGGCTTTGCTCGATAATAGACCTAGTTGTGCAAGAAAACAATGAGTTCTTTGGCAGCCCAGATCGGCGACCTTTACCAGCGAAATGGGACCTAGCGATAGAAGAAAAAGCTATGTTCTCTAGAAGTTCAGATTTGCGACCTCCATAGGCAGAATAGACCTCCATATTGTCGCTTCAAAACGATGGATTCTTCTTTAGGAGTGTTATATCAAGATGCTATATTTTGGATTCAACTATCGATTTGGACTTGGCAACAAAAGGTCTTAGAGTACTACTTTGTCTCTCATCAGGCTTAGAAATATTAGCAACTAAAAAAAACTCCACTCAAAAGGTTAGGGTTTTGCGAAAAATAGAAGGGGGGAAATAAGGAGGGAATCTGAACCCTTCTTGTGAACTGAAGCATTTGTTGTTGTTGGTTTAACCGGTTACTTCTAATTGAACTGGGACGATATGGCGGTGGTGGTGGTTGAAACATAGTGCGTTCATTTGTCACGACTCTTGTGTATCGCGTTGGTTGACAAGATCTAAATGACGATACAAGAGGTCCGTGACTTGAACTTTCTGTTATGTATATCTCTTCTTCATGCCCGTCTATTGGATGTGCTAGAACATGATTCATGAATTCTCTATAGCTGTGAATGATTTGATGACATATAGGACACTGGAGCAAAGCAAGGTGAGTCATTATTCATAACGAGGAGAGAATATTGAATTATACTCGCGAATTTGGTGATTGATGAATTATACTCACCAATTTTAGCGATTGAACGAAGAATTTATTCTAGGCATATCGCTTATCTTCACTTATAGATTCGACTCGTGATAATATGGTAATTCTGTTAAAGTAAATAATACCATTTTCATGCTAATACAAACAAAAGTTGAAAGTAACTTAATTTTTTTCTTTTTTACACATTTATTTTCCTTTTATTCTTTTTTTATTTAGTAACATGCTATTTTAGATACGCTCTATTAACTTTTCTCTAAAGTCTAAACATTGCCAGAAAAATGCTTTTTTTTCTTTTGTATTTATTTTGTGGGAGAGAGGAGATGTTGCTCTTTTAGGATGGTTAAGTGTAAAGGATAGTTTATTATACCAAAATTACATTATAACGACAAATAATTTTTTTAATGGATTAATAGAAATTGATATTATTGTATTACTGTATATTAGTTGTTATTTGTAATTCTGTAATTTTTTCAAAGTCAATGCAGGAAAATGAAATTAGAACTAAGATTATCACAATAATTTCCCTGTAAATACTTATGGTAAATCCTCCATCTTCCTTCTATAAGAGATGATGATAGGCTATAATTACGTATTTTAGTCGATTATTACATTCTAATCTACTGCACTTTAGTTGAGTTTGCGCTTTAATCGCTAGTGTTTTGCACTAATTGTGTGTTTTATGCCTTGTAGGTGTGATTCCGAGCTATATAGATATTATGGAATGAATTTAAGTGGTTTGGAGCTTTGAAGTCTGAGTAAGAGCTCAAGGAATTAAGCCGGGATCGCGCTCGGGGATCAACGGATGATAAAACAACAAAACAAAAACTCGAAGAGGCATATTGCGTACTGTCTAGTAAAATAGACATAACCTTTTTTCAGAACTCCATTTGGGCCCCATAATATATGGTTGGAAAGATAACTCAAAGGGCTACAACTTTCATGTTTTACGTTTTTCCAAATTCCAAATGGAACAGGGTGAAAAACCGCGATTACGGTAGGACCGCGGCAGAACCGCGGCAGAAGGCAGTCGCGGACAAATGAAGAACCTGAGAGGGTGTTCCGGCGTAACCGCGGTGGAACCGCGGCAGGATGCGTAAATTTCAGGGACAAAAGTGTAAAATACGGGTTTTAAGCCCTAAACCCTATATTAAACCAAGGAAGCCAGCCAAGAAAAGGAATTGGACATATTTTTGACATAGATTTGACCTAAGGAGGCAGAGACACAATAGGAGCAAGGCTTGGGAATTCTTCTACAAAAAATTTNAAAAATAAAAATGAGCAAAAGTCACAAATAAATCAACAAAGTGCCGCACAGAAATCTGAAAATTGTACAGCAGGGCCAATTTTTTTTTATTTTTTTTTGGAGCGATTGTTGTGCGAAACAAAAATCACGTGCTCACAGACCGCATTGTCCTTTTTATAAGGCATAGTTGGGTGTGATCGAGAGACATATTGTTCTATATGTAGGCAAGATAACCCATTATTTAATTTGAAACAATATACCAAACTTTGCTTTAGGAATGAAATTTACTGTAATTCCAGAAGACCATCTGACCTCGCTTAGCATTTTCCAAATTTTCTTATTTTAAAGGGGAAAAGCTCATGTCCTAAAAAAACTCGGCAATTTTCTTTTTTCAAGTCAAATAATTTTGTAAGTCCCTTGTATTTTTCACCCTTAATGTATGTTCTTTTTTATAATTTGCACTCTAACTTATACTTTTCAATGATTTGCACTCTAGTATCTTCATTTTTATTTTTTTTTGCAAAACAATAATTCTACTCTTTTTAAAAAAATTCATCAGGTCAAAATAGGAAAAATATAAATATACCAAGAGTATTTCTTGCTAAGGTTTTTATTTGATTGGAAAACAACGATCTATGATTGCTCAAACGAACATGAAAGTAGCAATTGTGGTCCAAAAAGATCCATTTCAACTGCTTTGCCATTTATACGATTTTCCCTTTCTCCTTGTATCTATTTTGTTATTTTTGAACTTTCCCTTAATTGGAAAAAAAAAAAAGGCAAAACGAGAAAAACTTTGACGATTCAAAGGAAAATAATTTTTGTTGTACTTCATTTCAAAGGAATTGAATTTACAAAGATGTTATAAACGTTTCCGAATCTTTCTCATCATTTAAACGAAATAAATATTTAGGGACTATTAATTGCATCTTTCTTATTTTTCCCTCATGAAAAATTGAAAAAGAATACTTTATTATTTTTCGAAGAAATAAAAATATTAAGGTGCAAATCATTATAAGAAACAGGGTCGGTTACAAATCACAAAAGAAACATACATTAGGAGTGCAAAATGCAAAGACCTCAGATTTGTTGTGTGATGACCAAAGAGTCATCTTCTACTATAGAACTTGATTCCGTGTTTCGAGACCTTAAAACCTTCGTTTTATTACTCTTCGATTTGAATGTGCAGTTCGGGTGTGTATCCGGGAAGCCCTTATAAAAAAGAATTTATGAAAACGATAATTTTTGGCCAAAGAGTTGATTTTTGTTGACTTCGGTCAACATTTTAGGTAAAAGGACCCCGGACTCGTGTTCCGACAGTCCCGGAGGGTCCGTAGTAAAATATGAGACCTGGGCGTATGACCGGAATCGAATTCCGAGGTCCCTAGCCCGAGAAATGAATTTTTGAAGGAAATTAATAAGACTAAAAATGTAATAATTTAAAGGATTTGATCTCGTTTGTATCGGGCCCGGTACAGGTTCGTTATGATATTTAAACCTTATCTGTGAAATTTGGTGAAAAACGAAATTGATTTGATGTGATTCGGACCTTTGATTGAAAATTTAGAAGTTTTGAAACTATCTTGAAAATTTCATGCAATTTGGTGCCAAATTCATAGTTCTACATATTATTTTGGCGATTTGATCACATGAGCAAGTTCGTATGATATTTTAAGACTTGTGTGCATGTTTGGTTTGGAGCCCCGAGGTCTCGGGATGAGTTTCGGATAGGCTACAGAGTGATTTGGAACTTAGAAAAATAACTGGTGTGCTTCAGCTGTGTTGCAGGCCTCAGACCACGCAAATGCGAGGTCAGGATTCGCATTTGCGATCACTGTTGAGGTCGCATTTGCGAGGCTTTCATCGCAAATGCGAAGGAAGGCTGGGCCAGCAGTTACCGCAATTGCGAGTATTTCTTCGCATTTGCGAAGTGAACTGGAAAAGGTCAGGGATCGCAAATGCAATCATTTCATCGCATTTGCGTAGGAGCATGGTCGCATTTGCGAACTATCCTTTGTATCTGCGAAGGCAGCAGAAATGCGAGGGGTTCGCATTTGCTATACCTTTCTCGCATTTGCGAGCTTCGCAAATGCGAAGCTCAGATCGCAAATGCAACATCTGCAGTTATTCAAAACATAAGTTAGACGGATTTTTCTCTCATTCCCTACATTTTTCAAATCCTAGAACCCTAGAGGCGATTCTCCCAAGACCAAATCATCCCCAAAACTTTAATAAGTAATCCTAACTCACTTTCTTTCATTTTCCCATCACATTTCATGAATTTCCAACCAAAAATCTAAGATTTCTATGGTAGAAATTGGGGGTTTGGGTAGACTTAGAGATTTTTATAAATTGGGGATTTAGACCTCGAATTGGGGTGAGATTTCAAAACCAATTGTATATCCGGGCTCGGGGGTGAATGAGTAATCGGGTTTCGATTCGAATTTTGAATTTTGACCAAGCAGACTCGGGGTCGGTTTTTGACTTTTTGGGAAAAATGTTGGAAAATCTATAATTATGCATTGGAATTGATTTCTTTAGCAATAATTAATGTTATTAAGTTAATTATGACTAGATACGAGTGGATTGGAGGTGGAATCGAGAGGTAAAGCGGTAATTGAGCTTTGAATTGCCCGTTGGATTGAGGTAAGTATTTGGTCTATCTTGACTCGAGGGATTAGGGATCCCCGACTTAATTGCTATGTGAAGTTCCATGTGTGTGACGTATAGGTGTGGTGACGAGTACCTATGCGCCACCAATTTATCTGTTTAGCTTGTTCCTTTTCTCTGTTCCTAGTATATTATTTTCATTTCCTAACTGCTACTTACTTATTGATGCGTCTATGTCTACTTGCTTCTCGTTAAATGTTGTTTTTTCTGTTGAAAGTATTAATTGTTCTGTAGTTTCATTATATTACATTGTTGGAAAGTTGGTTTATTGGTACTTCATGGTACATTTTGGTTGGTCTCACTGTGTAGTAGTAACTGATGAAGTTTCATAATTGTATAGACTTCACGTTGTGTTGGTTTGAGGCATAAATGTTGTGGAGGGTCTTCAGCTAGATTGTGAAATACTTGCTCTTATTTTGTGATTGGTACTGATATGTTAGGATCGGGTAGCACGCTGCAACATAAAGAATAAGGGTGAATTGTGATTGTCTGGTGGGATCGGGTTGCGCGCCGCAACAAGGAGTAATAAGGGTGGACAAATGGGATCAGGTTGCACGCTGCAACAAGAGCAATATGGGTGATATATTGAGGAGTAATATGGGTAGACTGGTGGGATGGGGTTGCACGGCGCAACAAGGAGTAATAAGGGTGAATGTTCATATTGTTACTTGTTATATGGTGGGATCAGGATGCGCGCCGTATCATCTTGTTGCTTATATACTCTTCCTCTGTTATGATTTTATCCCATAGTATTGAAACTCTCTTAAGGATTGTTTATAGCTGAGTACTGAAAAATTATTTGAGTTCCATATTTATTTGCTGCAAGTTACTTTTTACACCCCATGTTTTTGTACTTAAGAGTACGTCGTAAGTCAATTGATGTAAGCTCAGAAATGAAATCATCTTTGAAAAATTTATAAAGTAAGTTAATCATGTTACCGTGGAAGTTAATAATATTTAAGATCATGAATAACAAGTACCAAGATGGTCGGAAGGCTTAGAAGCTAAACGAATTGAAGAAGATAAGTTTTGTTGAAAGTCGACAAGTTTGGTGTTACACCCTGTGCGTCCTAAAGTGACGTATAATGAATATGAGACTTGTTAATCATGATTTAATAAGTGTAAAGTTATAATATGATTATAT